AAAAAAAAAAAAAAAAGAAATCAATAGCAGATGATTTTAATTCACACATTATGGGAAAGGAGAGGACACATCTGTGCCAGCCTGGGTTGTCTGGTCTAATTCACTGTTCTGTCTCACCTACATGTATCAAGAGTTGGCAAACTCTTTCCATAAAGGGTGAGAGTAGATAGCTTCAGTTTTGTGGGTCACATTGTCTCTGTTGCAAGTATTCAACTCAATTCATGTAGCTTGAAAGCTGCCATGGACAACATGGAAACAAATATGTCTGGTTGTATTCCAATAAAACGTTATTAATAGAAACCAAAATTAGAATTAAGTTTACACCTGTCATGACATATTCTTTTAACTTTTTTTCAACCATTCAAAAGTCCAAAAAGTATAAGTGTCATTTTTAGATTGTCAGCTATGCAAAAACAAACAGGATGCCGAATTTGGCCCGGGGACGACAGTTTACCCATCCCTGACTCAGGTTATTGCCAAAGCCCTAACCCCTCCAATGCATTCTCCCTACTGTCGCGGAAGAAATCCTTCTTAGACCAAATCTGATGTCACATACCTCTGTAAAATTTCTTACTGACTTTTCAGTACCCTCGGGATAAAATGAGACGTCTTGCTAATTATTTAGGATGGTTGGCTGGACCACTTTCATTTCCTCTACCAAGCTGTACGTTCCCTGTTCCCTGTTCTTATCCAGTATTACCCAAATAATTCCTACTCCTTCTTCCACCGTAACCTCCTCCAAGAAGCCTTCCTGGACTTCCCTCCAAACCTGGGCTACGTATTCTCCTGCAGGGTTTTGATACCACTGCGTATTGCCTCACTTCACAGGACTCATTGTATGTTATCATGTATATTGCATTATTATTATCGCATATTGGCTAGCTAGGATCTTCAAGTTGGAGGAGGCCACCCTTACATCTATCTGCTTCTCACTTATATCCCCACTTTCTAAATCACGGTCTTACACAAAGTAGACGCTCAAAAAACATTTACTGAATAAGTAAATACAATGGGGTGGGGAGGAATGACCTGGGGAGGTATCAGAGAGGAAGCACTCCCTCAGCAGAGTCCTAAACAATGAGTAGTAACTTGCCTTTCTCCCGTGGGGTGGCAGAGATTTTCAGGTAGGTGACAGCTACATCCTGGAAGTAGGAGAGGGCACTGGAGGAGCTCCATGCAGTTTGGTGTTGGTGTGGCTGGAGCGAACGCTGCCTATTGGAAAACGAAGTGAAATGAGGCTAGAGAGAGAACCTGGGAGCTTGTCGGCTAATAGAAGGAACTGGGTTCTAATTCTTCCGGTCATGAGGAGACTCAGAGAGAGAAAGTTGGTTGGATTTACATTTTAGAAAGTTTAGAAAGATCTCGTTGCCCGTGTAGATAGCCCAGATCCAATTAAAGTATCTTAGATAAAGTAGACAAGATCATTTTGGCAGTGGAGTTGACTGGAGTTTCATGCCAACTTCACATGAGGAGATAAATCGGGTGTCTGCAGGAACGGTTCATTTAAAAAATAAGGGACACGTGAATTAAGAAAATGTTCATGGAAGCATATTGGAAGTATGTGTTTGAAACTCAGAAAAAAATGGTCGAACTGGAAATATAGAATTAGAAAATGTCTCAGCTTATAGATGTATACAGTTCAATACAGTAGCCCATGTGTGGCTATTTAAATTTGAATTTAAATTAATTAAAGTTAAACAGGACTTTAAAATTCTATTCATCGGTCACACTAGCTATATTTCACGTGTTCATCAGCCACATGTAGCTAATGGCTACCCTTAATGGTGCAGAATTACAGAACATTTACATCGTTGTACAAAGTTCTGTGTGACAACACTACATAAACTGTAGTTAAATTTGTAGCTAAGCTCAAGATTATGCAGGAAGTTCCTCAAAAATTTAAACCTACAACTATGATATGACCTGGAAATTCCACAGCTGAGTATATTACCAAAAGAATTGAAAACAGGGACTTAGATACATATACACCAATGTTCATAATGTCCACAATAGCCAGAAGGTGGAAACCACCCCAGAGTACATCAAAAGATGAACGGATAAACACAATGTGGTGTGTGTATATATACCTTGGAATATTATGCAGCCATCGAAAGGAATGGAATTTTGACATACGTCAGAGATAATGCAGGTTCAGTTCCAGACCACACCAATGAAGTTAATACCATGATAAAGTGAAAGACACATATTTGTTGGTTTCTCAGTGCATATGAGTTAAGTTTACACTATATTGTAGTTCATAGTGTAAACTACAACATTGTAGTTTTTATATTGCAGTTATATTGTAGTTTATCAACTGTGCAACAGCATCATATCTAAAAACAATGCACACACTTTACTTAAAAAAAATACTTCATTGGCTGGGTGTGGCGGCTCACGCCTGTAATCAAAGCACTTTGGATGCCAAGGTGGGCGGATCACCTGAGGTCGGGAGTTCAAGACCAGCCTGACCAACATGGTGAAACCCCGTCTTAAAAAAAAAAAATACTTCATTACTAAAAAATGCTAACGATTATCTCAGCCTTCAGCAAGTCATATTTTTGCCTGTGGAGGCTCTTGCCTTGATGTTGAAGACTTGACTGATGAGGGGTGGTGGTCACCGAAGCCTGGGTTGGCTGTGACCATTTTCAAAAATAAATAAGACAAAAGTGAAATTTGCTGCATCAATCGACTCTTCCTTCCATGAAAGATTTCTCTGTGTCTTACAATGTGTGTAATAGCACTTTACTCACATTAAAATTTGAAGTCACACCTCTGAAATCCTGCCACTGCTTTATCAACTAAGTTTATGCAACATTCTAAATTCTTTGGTGCCATTTCAACAATGTTTAAAGCAGGGGTGTCCAACCTTTTGGCTTCCCTGGGCCACATTGGAAGAAGAAGAATCGTCTTGGGCCACACATAAAATACACTCACAATAACGATAGCCTATGAGCAAAAAACAAACAAACAAACAAAAAAATCTCATAATGTTTTAAGAAAGTTTACGAATTTGAATTGGGCCGCATTCAAAGCCGTCTTGGGCCACACGCAGCTCCTGCTGAAGTGGGTTGGACAAGCTTGGTTTACAGCATCTGTATCAGGAGTACATTCCATCCCAAGAAACCACTGTCTTTGCTCATCCAAAAGAAGCAACTCTTCATTCACTCAAGTTTGACCATGAGATTGCAGCAATTCAATCATATCTTCAGGCTTCACTTCATTTTTTTGTTTGTTTTTTTGTTTTTTGTCTTTTAAGAGACAGTATCAGCAGGACACAGTGGCTCACTCCTGTAATCCCAGCACTTTGGGAGGCTAAGGCAGCCAGATCATGAGGTCACGAGTTCGAGACCAGCCTGGCCAAGATGGTGAAACTCTGTCTCTACTAAAAATACAAAAAATTAGTCTGGCACAGTGGTGGACATCTATAATCCCAGTCACTTAGGAGGCTGAGGCAAGGGAGTCGCTCAAATCCGGGAGGCGGATGTTGCAGTCAGCGGAGATCACATCACTGCACTCTAGCCTGGGTGACAGAGACTCCATTTCAAAAAAAAAAAAAAAAAAAAAGAGGGCCAGGCACGGTGGCTCACACCTGTAATCCCAGCACTTTGGGAGGCCGAGGTGGATGGATCACGAGGTCAAGAGATCGAGACCATCCTGGTCAACATGGTGAAACCCCGTCTCTACTAAAACTACAAAAAATTAGCTGGGCATGGTGGCGCGTGCCTGTAATCCCAGCTACTCAGGAGGCTGAGGCAGGAGAATTGCCTGAATCCAGGAGGCGGAGGTTGCGGTGAGCCGAGATCGCACCATTGCACTCCAGCCTGGGTAACAAGAGCAAAATTCCGTCTCAATCTCGTCACAAAAAAAAAAAAAAAACAGAAAACAAAACAAAACAAAACAAAAAAGAGACAGTATCTCACTCTATTATTTTTCAGGGTAGAGTGCAGTAGCATGGTGGTCATAGACCACTGCAGCTTCCATCTCTTGGGCTCAAGTGATCTTTCTACCTCAGCCTCCTGAGTAGCTGGGACTAGAGTTATATACCACTATGCCTAGCTATAGTGGTAGACTCTATTTTTTGTAGAGATGGAGTCTCACTGTGTTGTCCAGACTGGTCTCAATCTCTTGGTCTCAAGCAATTCTCCCTCAGCTTCCCAAAGTGCTGGGATTACAGGCGTGAACAACCCCACCCAGCTCTCCACTTAAATTCTAGTTCTCTTGCTATTTTCACCACATCTGCAGTTCCTTATGCCCATTCAAGTCTTGAACCCCCCAAAGCCATCCATGAACGTTGGAATCAACTTCTTCCAAACTTCTGTTAATACTGATATTTCGACATCCTTCCATGTATTATGAATGTTCACAATGGCATCTGGAATTTTTTCCAGGATATTTTCAATGTACTTTACCCAGATCCATCAGAGGAATCATTATTTATGGCAGCTGTAGCCTTACAAAGCGCATTTCTTAAATAATAAGACTGGAAACGCAATTTAAAATTACTCCCTGATTCATGGGCTGCAGAATGGATATTGTATCAGGAGTCATGAAAAACAGCGTATTAATCTCCTTGCACATTTTCATCAGAGTTCTTGTGTGACCAGGTGCATTGTCAATGAGTAGTAAGATTCTGAAAAAAATCTTTCTTTCTGAGCAGAATTTCTCAGCAATTAATATGGGCTTAAAATATTCAGTAAGCCATGCTGTAAACAGATGTGCTGTCATTCAGGCTTTGTTCTTCCACTAATAGGTCACAGAGTAGATTTAGCATAATTTTCAAAGGCTCTAGGATTTTAGAATGATGAAATGAGCGTTGGTTTCACTTTAGTGTCACCAGCTGCATTAACCCCTACAAAAGTCAACCTGTCTTTTGATGCTTTGAAGCCAGCCATTGACTTCTCCTCTCTAGCTATGAAAGTCCTAGGTAGCATCTTCTTACAATAGAAGGCTCTTTCATCGATCTGCTCTTCAGTGTAGTAGCCACCTTCATCAACGATCTTAGCTAGTTCTTCTGAATAACCTGCTGTAACTTCTAGGTCAGCCCTTGCTGCCTCACCTTGCACTTTTATGTTATAAAGATGGCTTTTTTTTTTTTTTTACCTTAAAACTCCTCAAAACACCACATGTGCTAGTTTCAGACTTTTCTTCTGCAGCATCCTTGCCCCTCTCGGCCTTTATAGAATTGAGAGTTTAGGGCCTTTCCCTGGATTAGGCTTTGGCTTAAGGGAATGCTGTGGCTGGCTCGATCTTCCATCCAGACCACTCAAACTTTCTCCATATTAACAATAACTGTTTCACTTTCTTATCATTCACTAGAGTAGCACTTTTAATTTCCTTTAAGAACTTTTCCTTTGCATTCACAACCTGATTAACTCTTTGGCACAAGAGGCCTAGGTTTCGATGGGTCTTGGCTGTCCACATGCCTTCCTCATTAGGCTTCATCATTCCCAGCTTTGGATTTTAAGTGAGTGATGGTACAACTCTTCCTTTCTTTCTTTTTTTTTTTTTTTTTGAGACGGAGTTTTGCTCTTGTTACCCAGGCTGGAGTGCAGTGGCGCAATGTCGGCTCACCGCAACTTCTGCCTCCTGGGTTCAGGCAATTCTCCTGCCTCAGCCTCCTGAGTAGCTGGGATTACAGGCACGCGCCACCATGCCCAGCTAATTTTTTGTATTTTTTTAGTAGAGACGGGGTTTCACCATGTTGACCAGGATGGTCTTGATCTCTTGACCTTGTGATCCACCCGCCTCGGCCTCCCAAAGTGCTGGGATTACAGGCTTGAGCCACCACGCCCGGCTTTTTACAACTCTTCCTTTCACTTGAATACTTAAAGGCCATTACAGGATTATTAATTGGCCTAATTTCAATATTTTTGTGCCTCAGGGCATAGGAAGGCCCGCAGAGAGCAAGAGAAATAGGGGGATGGCCAGTTTTTGATACACAAAACATTTATTGATGACTTTTGCAGTATTACATGGGTGTGTATAGTGGTACCCAAATACAATGGCAATAGCAACATCAAAGATCGCTGATTACAGATCACCGTAATGGATATAATAATAAGGAAAACATCTGAAATATTGTGAGAATTACCAAGCTTTGACACAGTGGCATGAAGTGAGCACATGCTGTTGGAAAGATGGTTCTGACAGACTTGTTCCACATAGGGTTGACACAAACCCCCGTTTGTAAGAAACACAACATCTGCAAAGTGCAATAAAGCAAAGAAAAAGAAGAGATATGCCTGTATGCTACAGCATGGATGGACCTTGACAACATTAGGGAAACTGAAATAAGCCAGACACTAAAGGACAATTTTTTTATTTTAATTTTTTTGAGACGAAATCTCACCCTGTCTCCCAGGCTGGAGTGCAATGGTGCAATCTCGGCTCACTGCAACCTCCACCTCCCTGGTTCAAGCGATTCTCCCTCCTCAGCCTCTTGAGTATAAAGGACAAATACTGTGTGGTTCCACTGACATGAGGTACCTAGAAGAATCAAATTCACAGAAACAATGGAGAATCCTGGTTACAAGGGACTATGAGAGAGAAGGGAATGAAGAACTGCTATTTAGTGGGAACAAAATTTCTGTTGGGGATGTTGAAAAAGGTTGAGTCCAGATAAAGGTGATGATTACATAACACTGGGAATGTGTTTGATTGTACACTTACAAACAGTTGAAATGGTAAATATTATATTATGTTTATTTTTACCACAGTAAAAAAAAAATATGGTCCAGGGAGAATGTATAAAACAGGAAAAAGAGAAGGAAGAAGATATTAAGGGAATAACAGAAGGAAATGAAGCCACCCATGAGATCCAGAAAGTCAGAGCAATAGAACGGGAGTGAAGAGGGAGTGCTGTCAAGGAAACCAAGGTGGAAAGAAAAAACTAATTTTCTACCCACAGGCCCGTTGGTGATATGCTGCCAATAACGTTCCCTATTTAAAACCCACAAGAATGAGGTACAATCAGCCTACCGAATACGAAAAGGTAGTGTGTTCCTCTGCTTCTCCCTATTCTGAATCTCCTCCTAATCATTGACCAGGCAAATCAAGCACTTTGACTACCATTCTCTTCTTCAACTCTTGCAAGTTCTCTCTGAGAATAAAGCCTCTCATAACTCTCCTTTCTCTTAATGCTTCATGCTGAGAAATGTCTGGCTACATGACATCGTTTTGATGGCAATCCTACAGTATGGATTCAAAATACTTGTTTAACAGGAAAGGGGACGGGGAATGGTGGCTCACACCTGTTATCCCAACACTTTGGGAGGCCAAGGTGGGAGAATCCCTTGAGGCCAGGAGTTTGAGACCAACTTAAGCAACATAGCCTGACTTTGTCTTGTTAAAAAATAATAATAATTGGCCAGGCACTGTGGCTCATGCCTGTAATCCCAGCATTCTGGGAGGCCCAGGTAGGCAGATCACCTGAGGTCAGGAGTTGGAGAACAGCCTGACCAACACGGTGAAACCATATCTCTACTAAAAATACAAAAAATAGCCAGGCCTGGTGGTGTGCACCTATAATCCCAGCTACTTAAGAGGCCAAGGCAGGAGAATTGCTTGAACCTGGGAGGTGGAGATTGCAATGAGCCGAGATCGCACCACTGCACTCCAGCCTGGGTGACAGAATAACACTCCATCTCAAAAATAATGATAATAATTAAAAAATAAAAAGGAAGGTAAATCTGAAGATGCTCTAAACAGCATCGTTCTTCCATCTCTCCTTATCCCCACATGAAAGCAGAAAGAATATCTACACAGCAAAACCAAATACCCATGGGTAGCGTTTACAGTAAAACTCAGTGGCAGAGTAACCCCATGAATCTCAAAGTACAGTGAGTGGAGACGTACTACCAAGTGCCGTAAGAGCTGCGTGGCTTCAGCAGTGAGGGAGGAGGGAAACCAGCTAGTGTCAGTGGGACTTGAGAATTAGAGAACCCCCAAACAGGCGACAGAGCTTCACTGGGACACCAATGGGCTGGCCTGCAGATGGCCTCGAAAACTGAGAAGGTCCTGTCCTGGGGGGAAGTGAGAGCAGGGGGCTATGGTAGGAGCATCTGAGGGAACCGGGGCAGTCTCTCTTAAAACCAGCTCCCAGGTCTCCCTTTTAAGATGAGGTCCCACGCCGAGGAGAAACTGTTGAGAGTGGAGCCAAAATTGATCAGGGCATTGCCGGGAACAGTGGCTCATGCCTGTAATCCCAGCATTTTGGGAAGCTGAGGCAGGCACATCGCTTAAGTTCAGGAGTTCGAGACCAGCTTGGCCAACATGGCGAAACCCCATCTCTACTAAAAATACAACAATTAGCCAGGTGTGGTGGTGGACACCTGTAATCCCAGCTACTTGGGAGGCTGAGGCAGGAGAATTGCTTGAACCTGGGAGGTGGAGGTTACAGTGAGCTGAGATCATGCCATGGCACTCCAGCGTGGGTGACAGAATAAGACTGCATCTCAAAAAAAAAAAATTGATCAGAACAACTGATCACAAAATTGATTAGGGATATGAGAGAAGAAAGAAAGAGAAGGTGTAGACTAGAGTGAAATAGCAGGTGGGGAGCACAACAGGGAATCTCAGAAATAAGCCACTCTATTCATAGAAGCAGGAGAGGATGGAGCTCTGCAGAGCCAGACGAGGTTTTCTGAACACTTCTCACTCTAGAAGTCCAGGAAAACTACCTTTTCATCAAAATGAGCAACTGATAAGTATTGAAGACAAATTAAGTACAAAGTTATTCTTAGTATTATTTTGAGACAGGATCTTGCTCTGTTGCCCAGGCTGAAGTGCCATGGTACAATTTCAGGTCACTGCAACCTCCGCCTCCTGGGCTCAAGCGGTCCTCCCACCTCAGCCTCCCAAGTAGCTTGGACCACAGGCACAGGCCACCATGCCTGGCTAGTTTTGTTTATTTTTTGTAGAGATGGGTTCTCACTATGTTTTCTCAGGCTAGTCTACAACTCCTCATCTTAGGCAATCTTCCTGCCTCAGCCTCTCCAATTGTTGGGATTACAGGTGTGAGCCACAACACCCAGCAAAATACAAAATTATTAGAAGAATAAAAGAAAAGGAGTATGATGATGACTGTTAAGTTCACAGAACAAGGATGAGCAGACAAGGCTTGCGTTGGATTTGCCAAAGGGATCGAACCTGAGAGCAGTGCAGGAAATGCAGAGAAGCAAGATGAACTGCACCCTGAGTGTGCAATCTACCAAAGCCAGACAGT